TGGGTCAGTGATACCCTCGGGCCCGTGCGCTGGGTCAGTGATACCCTCGGGCCCATGCGGAGGGTCATTATCTATTCAATGAATTACCTGATGTGAAAACATGAGATTAATTCAATAGAATAATAGGTAATTACATTGAAAATAATGCAAAGCATTTGAGCTACCTGTCAAAGGTGAATTGTTTTACCGAATGGGTCGGTCTGGATTTATTGCTGTCATGTGCGAGAGTGGTTCGGATCCAGAATACACTGCATGAGAGTGAATAGAAATGATTGGAGTGTGCAGGAGGAATTGGATAAGCCCTCTAAAGAGTAAGCATATGTAGGGATGCGGGATAGAGGTGGAGGAATGGGCCTGGGTCAGTTACTGTCAAGGTGAGTAAGCATAGACGTGATGAGCCAAGTGATCTCCTCTGTACTTAAACCATTCTATCACTTTTTGAATGTTAAATCACATTTTGCAACATCCTACTTCTACACACTTTGACGTTTTCATTCAAGCCTTACTTTACCAACATTAGCGCAGAAGATCTCAGTTACCTTGGCTCCACTCCCGAAATTTTCTTCTCACCTTCCACTTCGCCATCATCCTTTATAAATATCATCAGATCCATCAGTCCAACCTAGCCCTCTGTCACTTCCCTGAACAACTCCAAAGGGAACGGGTCCGTTTCGCTCATTAGTTGCTTTTTATAATATTATAAATGCACGTTATGATGTATTACATAGACCGTGAAGCACCGAAGCAGGTAATGACCCAATATTTGTATAAGTTTGTTAAGTAAGACATTAAAGGATGTCAATGCAGGATATTTGGCTTATTTAAGACCTTGTCAAGAAGGAAAACTTTGATGCAAGACCTTAGATAACGTTGGGCCATAATGAAACTTGTAGATTATTCCACTCCATTTGAGGACATTGGATTCTTTCCTGGAGCCCATCTCTGGTGAAGACTGCTCCATTGTTCACTGCTGTCCAATTTGGAAATAATCGAAAATCCATGAACCTTCCTGATCAACTAGCAGCAACATATTAGGTATAGTAAATGAATGACTCCATGATGAACTGTCCAAATCAGAAGTATCAAGCAGTTTGAGGGGTTAATATCTTACCATTGCACAATTTCCTTTGTCTTGGTCTTCCCAGACTGTGCAAACTTGGTACGTTTATTTAAGGAGAGGGAATTGAAAAGAGATCTTTTATCTTAAAGTGCTGCAGCAAAAGTGGAAACAAATTCCAAAGCATATCACTGTTGAGGTATCAAAATCTAGGTGAATAGAGTTTGAGGACACAGTGTGGTTTATTAAGATAGTAAAACAGATTCACAAAGAAAGGGAACAAAGATTGAAATGGAGAGTTTGGGAGCAAGGTTTACTAGAAAAGGGTTCAACAGAAGACTTGATAAAGGAAAGAGGTATAGGTAAGAAGCAAACCATAAGGAGATAAATGGTAGCCTTAAGTAGAGTAGATGGGAAAGTGGGTTGGAAATTATATGGTGCATTTAAAATAAGATTTTTCAGAGGGAAAAAGCCAGGTTTTAGTTAGTGGGTTATATGTAAAAATTTCAATAATCAGTAAACTGAAGTAAAGACTTATGAGTTTAGAGGTGAAGGTACAAGAACTTTCCATAATCGAGAGAGTTGTCGACAGGATAGTATAAAGACGCTGGTAGAAATGGTCCATAGGCCCCCTAACTAACTATATGATAGGACAGAGAATAAATCACATGATGATGTGGGCATGTAACAACAGTCGTACTTAAACATGGATGACTTTAATTTTCATGTACACTGGGATAGATTGGCAGAGGAAGAATTCACAAGAGTGCATTTGGTTCATTTCCTAGAACAATGTGTTGCAGAACTAACCAGGAATCAGGCTATTTTGAATCTGATGATGTGCAGTGAGGCAGGTTTAATAAATGATGCCAGAGTAAAAGATCCCCCTCAGAAACAGTCATTGTAACATGGTAGAATTTAGCATTCAGTTTGAGAGGGAGGAACTTGGGTTGGAAACAAAAACAAATTGCTGAAGAAAAGTTGCAGATGATTGGAAAACTGCCAATGTAACACTTATTTAAAAAGGGAGACAAAAGAAAGGCAATGATAAGGCAGTTGCTGAATACCTGTAATTGGCAAAAAGTTAACATGTTATAAAAGATATAACAGCAGAGCATTTGGAAATATATAATATGATCAAGCAGAGCTAGCATGGCTTCATGAATGGGAAGTCATGGCTGGCAAATTTATTAGAATTCTTTGACGAGGTAACAAGCATGATAGTTAAAGGAGAAGCAATAGTTATGTTTGGACTTTTCGGAGATGTATGGTACCTTATAAAACATTGGGTTACTTAACATCTCAACAGCTTAAGATAACAGCCTATTATGTTGGAGGTAGTATATGGACATGGATCAAAGATTGGTTAACAAAGAAGACATAGTGTTGAGATAAGGAGGTATTTCAGGATAGCGACCTGTGGAGTATCATGCTATCAGTGTTGGGGATGCAGTTATTTACAATATATATTAAATGACTTGGACAGTGCATCACTAAAGCCAAGTTTGCAGATGACACAAAAAAAAAGTGGGAAGCAAGTGGTGAGGATGACACAAAGAATCTGCTGAGGATGACAGGTGGAACAAGTGACCAAAAACTTGACGGATGGAACATAATGTGGGGAAATATGTGATTATGCTCTTTGGCAGGAAGAATAGAGGAGCTGAGTATTATTTACATGGAGGTAGACTGCAGAAAGCTATGGAACAGAGGGATTTGGAAGTCCTTGTGCATAGAACACAAAGTTAGTATCCATGTTTAGCAAGTAATAGAGTAAGCAAATGGCCTTTATTTCAAAGAGAATGGAGTATAAAAATAAGGTTTTGTTAAAACTATACAAGGCTTTAATCAGACCGCAGCGAGAATACTATGAACAGTTTTGGGCCCCTTTTTGGAACCAGGGTACCCAATGTTCCCATAATACAGGGGTTAGTGTTAAGACAAACCGAGGACATGGAAGTAGTGAATGAATTACCAACAACAACGTAACTTTGATTTATAAAGCTTCTTTATCACGGGAGGGGAAACTCAGTGACTGCAACTGCAGAGACACAGTAGTGTTGTCAATACCTGGCAAATTCTTCAGCTCAGTGTTCCTAAATAGATTGAAAACAACTAGACAGTTACTGCTCAACAGGTAGGTTCATACAGTGGCAGAACATGCTGCAAGCAGATCTTTAGACTCCGAAACATCAGAAAACAGAAGCTAGACTAGTGGAAACCACTTGTTATCAACTTCATGAATTGCTGACCCTTTCTTTCATTTCAGCTTTGGAGAATGTGACTGTCAGCACATAGAGTATGTCAGGTGGGGAGAGGGAATGGTGTGGGCTGATCTTGAAAAATGCACCATCACTTGATGTGACTCTCACAAACCCCAGCTCAGATACAACACGACCTAAGCTTTCGTTAGAGGAAGGATGTGCACATGAAGATTCATACAAAAGCAGGTTGCAGGAGACCAGGCATGGGGATAAAAGACACACAGGTGTTAGTTCAACAGAGGGTAAGGTCACAAACCAATTCTTCAGGAGACTCCAAAGCTGCCTATGGGGCCCAGGCAACTGAGAAAGCTCTTTCATCCACAGCATGGAAGTGATTGGAAACGCTTGAATGATCATCTAACCATGGTACCTGCACATTCAGTAGAGATTGAGTTGAACTAACTAACATCTTGGCTTCATTTGTTCATTCTTGATGTCACTTTGTGTATATTGATGTATGGGATTTAGTGTGCATGAAATGTAGAGATCCAAGGCAGATTGATATAGGAATTGTGAACAAAACACTGACAGACTTACCGAGTGGGATGTATGTGAGTTCTTATATTGAATCATGAGCTCAACAAAGACTCATATACGTATTGAAACGTGTCATGTCCTGTACCTGAGCACTCAGGTCAGATTGTGTAACATAAGCTCATTACAGACCTGATTCTGTACTGTTACAAGCTGCTACCACTGGAAAATCAGATTGTCGCCATCATGTCTTTAGAAGACACAGTTGAAAAGGGCTTCAGGTATGTCAATAAAAGCCGAAACAACTGCGGATGCTGTAAAACAGGAAAAGCTCAGCAGGTCTGGCAGCATCTGTAAAGGTAAAAACAGAGTTAATGTTTCGGGTCTGGTGACCCTTCCTCAGGACTGGTTCCCCACAGATGCTACCAGACCAGCTGAGCTGCTCCAGCAACTTTGTTTTTGTTCATGATTTACAGCATCCGCAGTTCTTTCAGCTTTTATTGATTCCTGAAGCCTTTTTCAACTGTGTCTTCTAAAGACATGATGGCGACAATCTGATTTTCCAGTGGTAGCAGCTTGTAACAGTACAGAATCAGGTCTGTAATGAGCTTATGTTACACAATCTGACCTGAGTGCTCAGGTACAGGACATGACATGTTTCAATACGTATATGAGTCTTTGTTGAGCTCATGATTCAATATAAGAACTCACATACATCCCACTCCATGATTCAGTCTGACAGTGTTTTGTTCACAATTCCTATATCAATCTGCCTTGGATCTCTACATTTCATGCACACTAAATCCCATACATCAATACACACAAAGTGACATCAAGAATGAACAAATGAAGCCAAGATGCAGCAGCTAGTTCAATTCATTGAAGTCCATCGAAGCTTTTCCAATCACTTCCATGCTGCGGATTAAGGAGCTTTCTCAGTTGCCTGGGATGTCCTTCCAGCATTTACTTCTGATGGTGCCCTCGTATCCATGGACAAGAGTCTGGTTATCCCAAGTCAGGATGCTGGATGCAGCTAGTGCCCTTACTGGTAACACTCAACTAATGCCATAGGCTACAATCACCTACACCTGAATGTTGCAATTTGCAGCCAACATCTTTGGGCCTGGAGTTATACAAGGTCAGTCATACTACAAGACAGACTGGTGTTCTCAGTGGAATATCAGCTGCCATCAAACCATCAAACCATTGGAGAACCTCTTGGAACTTCACAATCAGAAAATCAATGCACAGGATAATCAAAACAGGCCTGCAAAGAGGTAAGTTGTAAATTTTTTGCAATGTTGACATATTTGTTTGGCAAATGCATTTTTTGAACTGAATTTGGTTTTTGGATTTGTTGTGAAATGAGGATAAAACTCATAAGTTTGCAAGAGTGAACAAAAAATCTGTAACAAGCAACAACATGGGACAATGTAAAAGAAAGTGTAGAAATGCACGAGGCTCAGAAGAGATGAATACATTTGTTGAAATATTGAAGAGCAAGGACAGAAATCTTTGAGGCAGTGCCTGATTAGTTGTTATCCCATAGTGCATGACATAGTCTTTTCGCATTGCAGGCAAAGGCTTGAAGAATGATGAAGACCTGCTGTTGTTGCTTAATATTTCTCGTGGCTACATGTTATATGGAAGTGTCCAGCTCCTCAGGTCAGTGTGAGATATCAATATTTATTGTGTTGCATACATGGCACACTCTTGATGTGGGTGTCAAATTATCCTGGGATAAATGGTACACTGTCCTGATACAGATTGGGCATTGATAGATGTGGACTATACACTGCCTTTGTACAAACATTACCTGATCTTGGAACAAATGGCACATTGGCCTCATGCAGATGGAGAATTCCCTTCTTTGAATGGTACATTGTTCTTGTACAAGTGACACACTGTGAACCCGTTACAGATGGTCTTGATATTGTTCACTACCTTGGTACCATAACAACCCACAAAATAAACTTCCAAACAAGTTTGCTCCATTAGCAAGATCACCAGCCTCCACCTCTGTAACATTGCCGAACTCTGCCACTGCTTCTTGTCTCTGTTACCTCGAAATTTGATTATTCCCATGTTCTCCTTGCTGGCCTCCCGTCTTACACAAACTTACACACCTTACACAAACTTCAGTTTATCCAAAATTCTGCCTCCTATCTTGCCTCATTCACTCATCACCTCTGTGTTCACTGATGTTCAATGGCACCACCTCAATTTTAAAATGCTCATCTTTATCTCCAAGTCTCTGCACAGCCTCGCCCTTTTCTAACTTTGGGATCTCCTCCAGGCCCTCAACCCTTGGAGAGATCTGCTCTCCACCGGTTCTGGCCTCTTGTGAATCACCAATTTTAATGACTTTACAATTAACAATGATGCCATCAGCTGTCTGGACCCTACACTCTGGTATGGATGCAACATTCCATGGTGCAAATTGTATAGTGTCTCACAAAGCAACAGTTTATTAAAGACAACTCCTCATTTCATTTCCCAGTATTTTTACCAAAAAACCATGCCAGTGATGTATTGAGAATTAGAAAACGGGCTAATTCCTTCTTGGAAGAGCTTAAACCTGGAAATTTGGAAAGAGAGTGTATTGAAGAAAAGTGCGTATTTGAAGAGGCAAAAGAGATTCACGGTTCATTGGATAAAACTGTGAGTATTCTGCAGTCTCCTCAGTGTACTGGTTCATGACACGCCAACAATGATAATTTATTAACAATTTACTAATTTTACACTATTTAAATCATGGAATTTGATGGGCACAGAAGACCAAAGGATCTCTCTCCAATCCTAATTTAATATTCCTTAAAATATTGGAGCAATTTCAAAGCATTAGTAAAGTTTAATGTGCAGAATGCCACACTGTTTACTTCAGAATGGATTTTACAAGTCATCTTTTATCTGGTGAGGACCAAGACCACCATGATAGCAACCACACCTCAATTCATAATACTCCCTCTACAATTGAAGCATAATTTGTTGCTAGCATAAAATCTTAGGATAATGAGACGCCGAGCCATCATAAAATTCCTATTGTGCAGAATCGAGTCTGCACCGACCCCCCAGCCAGACCCAACCCTGCATTTCCCTTGGCTAATCTGCCCAACTTGCACATCCCTGCACACTACGGGGCAGTTTTAGCATGGGCGATCCATTTAACCTGTACATCTTTGGACTGTGGGAGGAAACCGAAGCACCCGGAGGAAACCCACGCAAACGCAGGGAGAACATGCAAACTCCACACAGACAGTCACCCGAGGCTGGAATCGAACCCAGGTCCCTGGCACGGTGTGATAGCAGTGCTAACCACCGAGCCACCATACTGCATCAGAACAGTGATGTTCAAGATTCCATCTCTCACTTGCCTCCTGCACCTGAATCCTATTCCAACAGCCCTATTGACTTACATGATCCTTCGGTAGCCGTAGCTTTGCTGCAGTTGACCTCTGGACCTTTGGATAAAGAATAGAAATACTTGTTTCCGATCAACTCTCCCACTGGAATAATTAGTCTGGGGAGAACTGCTGCTGTTTGTCACCAAGGACTCATTGCCGCAGTGAAAATGTAAACACGAGTGAGAATGCAGGTTCTGTCCAAAACTAAAACAGTGGATGCGTGTGTGGTGACTCAGGTACTGATTTCTGATCACCACATTTTGCAGAGCTGTAAACTAAGTCACCTACAGATTCTAAGTAGGATGCAAGGAAACAGTGCCATAAGATAGGAAACCATGAGCACGGGATTGGCGATAGTGCAACTTTAATAAGGACAGGAAGTGTTTCATGCAGAAAGTTCAATTGAAATTCCCTCATCGTCTGCCAATACACTCTTCCCGACATACAGCCTGGTAACAAAATAGAAAATGCATGAAATTTTATTTCAGATTTCCAGTCTATATTGTAATTTTGCTTTTATTTCAATAAGTCCATCATGTCTCATATTTTTGACATTTCAAGTCATAAATAAAACAAGTATGTTTAGCTTTTATAAGTCAGCTGCTTATGACAAGGATCTAGTCTGTCACTGCTGTAATCACTGAAGAAAAAGAAAATCCCAATAGGCCATGTTTCAGGCTTTGCCTATTAACAGTTCCTCCAATACTGAAGCAGTTCTTTTCACATTCAACTTGAATGTTAGTAACAGTTAATATTCTATGGATCTATTCAGATACAGTCAGATTTCTTAAATTAACACACTGAAGACAGAAGAACTTTCATCTGAGGTGAGAAAGGTTTGCATGATAAAATATAAATCTGGCTGACCTTTTTCACAATTTACTATCTTTTGTCTTCACCAGGCCAGTGTGATGGGACCTTGTGGAAGAATCATAACCTCATTATAATAATCAAAGAGCCAGTTAAAAACTTCTGAAAAAGCCATCAAGAGTTTGAACTATCAGTTACTTCCAGAAAAGATTTTAAATAATGAATTAGTCTACGTGTATTTTTGGTGTCCACTTTGCCTCTTTAAGTGTATAAATAAATTTAATTACTATTTAGTCTGACCAATATGATCTTCAGCAGTGTGCTGCTTGTTCATGGGATTTGGGTAGCTCAGATGGCTGAATGGCTGGGTTGCAATGCAGGGTGATCCAAAAGCATGGGTTCAATTCCTGCACCAGCTGAGGTTACCATGAAAGACTCTACTTCTCAACGTTTTCCCTCACCTAAGGCATGGTGACCCTTCGATTAAACTACTACCAGTCATCTCACTCTAAAGAGAGGGCCGCCCTATGATCTGATAAGACTATGGTGATTTTACCACTCAGGATGAGATTTGGATATGGTTATATATTGAAATCTGCCATTTACCCAGTAAAAGCATAATTTAGTTATTGTTGTAAATTGAACCAAAAGCATAATTGCTGATCTTTTGACAAGTAGTTTTAGTTGCAGTGAAGTGAAATGATTCACTGCTGGTGATGTGTCACTCAAACCTGCATTTTGTTGCAAATACAAAAAGAGAAAACATCATGAATTATAACTTTGCATGTGTCGTTAACAATAGTTTAACCCCATAATAGAGCACAGAAAAAAATATGCTGAATGGAGATGTTATCGGACATGGATAAATGGAGTTTGTGGTGATTCTATTATAACATGTTAAATTATGGCAGGAGTTGAAAAATATGTCCATGACCTTGAGTACTCGGAATCCTAGGGAACATAAATTGTGCAATATGGTTAGTAAGTGCGATTGAAGGATATGGCAGGTAGGTGGTATGGATGCAAATGGACAAACATTTGTTCATGAGTTTAAGTCATGATGATGAGAAAGAGGCATTTACCATGAAGAAGACTGGTCTCTTCTTCCAAATGGACTTTTTTAAAAAATCTAATGCTTCCCCCATTCCTTTCCAAGTAATGTGAAAGCTATTTTGTTTCATTTTACAACAGATGTTGATGCATCTAATCAGCTTTGTACTTTTTTTTGACAGCTGGTATTTTGGAACAAGTATGTTGGTAAGTAGGTTGTTCTCTGTCGAACTATAGTCCTGAAAATGAATAAGGGTGAAAGAAGTCATTACAGTAAGAATAAGACAACCCCAAAGTCCTTTACAGACATTCAACTAATTTTGGAGTGTAGTCACTGTTATAGTTTAGGAGATGTGACAGCCAATTTGCTTGCACCAAGGTCCAATTAGCATCAGTGTGAAAATAACTAGATGATCATTTTGTGATGTTGGCTGAGGGATAGGCAAGACACTGGAAGCCGCCCCACATTCGCCATTCTTCCTCAGAATAGCACAATGAGACCTTTCACATGCATCTGAGGGGTTTTAGTTTCCTATCTGATCCAGCAGTACAGTACCCACTCACTACTGCATTAGGTGTGTCAGTGTTGATGTTTGTGCGCAAACTCTGGGGTAGGATTTGAAGCCACGACCTTCTGACTCAGAAGTCAGTGCATTTGCCAGCTGAGCCATAGCTGACATGCAAATAGAATAACAACTGTTCCAGAATGAAGATAAGGCCGTTCTGCATTTTATGTCCGTCCCCAATGGTTTTCTTTATATGAGTTACTTAGTTTAATCACCTTCTTCCACCCACCAACCCCCACCTCTCACCTCCCCACCGCCTCCGCTTTCCCTCTTTTTAATGCTCTTTGAGCTGCACAGCAACAAAACATAAAGAGACTTGCCATACGTTGTTGTTTCTGATTGCTAATCCTCAACAGGATGTATCAATTCCCAGGCAATGGGCTATTTCTGTTCTCAGCAATATCATCATTAGATTTCTCCACTGTGTCAGTATTGTACAGATTTATCATTCCACAATGTAATGATGCATCATATGTTAAGAATACGAGGAATGAAATTGAGTTGTGTGACATATACCTAAAAATGCTGCCAAGCACAGTTGTGAAATTACTTTCTCAGCTGTTCAAATAAAAATGAAAACCAATTTGTTTTAACTAGGCAAAGGCTTCCCATCAAATACTTGCGCTTATATTGACTGTGTGATTTTAGCAGTCTTAACAGAAATAAGGCACAGATTGTAGGAGCCACAGTTTAGGAACTTAACTAGCTGAAACTGCACAGTACATAGGAAACAGTAATCTTATTAGAGCTTGTCTGGCTGTCACCAGCCTACCCTATGTGGCATTGTCTTGTGTTTAGTGCTGGTGAATGGAGTTAGCTCCATTGCTTCCCTCAATGTCCCTTTTGTGAGCCAAGCTTGTCCAAATTCAGGTAACTACGTAGTGAATGACTGCACCTTTACAATTTGTTATTCAGAGAGAGACATATCCTACTGTGTTCCTCCAAACATTCATTCTTTCAGCCCAGTCCTATTAACGTTACCACAGGTGAGATCCCAACTAATTAACACTCAATTAGGAAATTCACTTTTTTATCTTTAGCAAAATAGCTTATTAAACTTTACATATGTCTCTTTTAAAAAAGGATTTCCATATTTGGTACAGAGCAGGAAATTGAGATATGACCCACATTGATGACCCTCTATACTTTCTTTGTGCATGCGCTTCTTTTAGTAAAATAATCTGGCATTTGATGGCCTGAATCCACCCATTTTCTTCTCGAGGTTTGTTCTCTCTGAAGCATTTGATGCATGCCGGCAGGTCGATCATAATCTTTTCTCACTTGGCAGTTCACTGGATGTGCATTATCCCACACTCGAGAATTATCTGTATATAACAGTCTATGGGTATACTACCTTCCACAGCCCTGTTATACAAAATGCCGCTTAAAACAGAATACCATATCCACTGCTTCTGCAAAAGAGTGTTTTTCAGTAACTAGAGTATTTTTAACAAGTCCTTTAATTTTCTTCATTTGATACTAAAAATAACTTTCCCGTAAGAAATATTAGTAAACTTGTTGCACTTGAATATCCGTCAGTAAGAATAGCATATGAAATATCAGGAAACAATTAGATTAATTTAGATTAATGTTCCTTGGGTCACAAAGAGTGGGATGTTGTACAGACGGTTATAAAGGCCTCTTCTGGAGTACTGTGTACAGTTCTGGTTGTCCTGCTTTAGGGAGGAAATTATTAAATTGGAGAGGATTTAGAAGAGATTTACAAGGAATGGAAGTTATAAGAAGAGGCTGGATAGGCTGGGACTTCTTTCACTGGAGCAAAGGAGGTTGAGGGGTAACTTTATAGAGGTTTATAAAATAATGAGGGGCATTGATAAGGTGAATAGCAAGGGCCTTTTCCCTAGAAGGAGGGACTTCAATACTAGGGGCCATATTATTAATGTGAGAGGAGAAGGATTTCAACAATGACCTTTTAGTTTTATGTTGAAAAAACAATGTCTGAGTTTCTAACACTCAGCTTTGGACAACGACCCTCTGTCACCATTATAAGTAAGACAGCCGGGCAAAGAAGGATAGAACGCTATTGTCTTGTCTTTATAACTTTTATACAGTCTCACTTAGGATATCATGGCCTTTTCAAACAGCAATCACATTTTCTGCCAGATCCTATATATATGGTGTGTCCACACCATAAACGTTACAGGGATTACTCACTCACAATTTATTTTTCATTGCAGACCTGCATGAAGGTCAGTAGATATATATTAGATTACATCCTAGTACTTTAATATTGCTAAATGTCAATCCAGTACTGAGGTCAGAGAAAGGAACTGATGCAGCCAAACTGAGGAGAGCATAGAAATATTTAAAAGGGCTCTTGTGGTACAGTGATAGTATCTTTGGCTCCATCCCAGAAGATCCAGGATCAATCTCACTTGCCCCAGCCATGAGTCATAATGTGTCTTGGTTGATTTAACACACCTGGAAATATTTAATGCTTGGATGTGTAGGAATAACAATTTGAAGTGCTTCTGCCACAAAAGTTAGACTCAGCTAATGACAGGATAAGTTACACGTGTCATGATCTGCTGGGATAGTACACTGAAAACTGGTACCCACTGTTAATGGCATCGCCACAAATAGAAAAATGATCCAGTCAAACTATCCAAACTCCACTTTTTAGGAATTCAGGTGTTAAGAAAATGCTCACCGGGATTCTGTATTTGACAAAAAAAACTGTTTATTTTGGACAAATTGACTTGAACCAATTACTAAAATGAAATAAGAATTGGTGTCTTAGAGTCACAGTCACAGAGCTGTACAGCAGAGAAACAGACTCTTTGATTCAACTCATTCATGCCGACCAGATATCCTATATAAATCTAGTCCAATTTGCCAGCATTTGGTCCATATCCCTCTAAACCCTTCCTATACACATACCCATCCAGATGCCTTTTAAATGTTGTAATTGTACCCACCTCCACCACTTCCTCTGACAGCTCATTCCATACATGCATCATGCTCTGTGTGAAAATGTTGCCCCTTAGGTCCCTTTCCCCTCTCACCTTAAACCTATACCCTCTAGTTTTGGACTCCCCAACCTCAGGGAAAAGACCTTGGCTATTCACCCTATCCATGCCCCTCATGATTTTATAAACTTCTATGAGGTCACCTCTCAGCCTCCAATGTTCCAGGGAAGATAGCCCCAGCTTGTTCAGCCTTTCCCAATAGCTCAAACCCTCCAACCCTGGCAACATCCTTGTAAATCTTTTCTAAACCCTTTCAAGTTTCACAACATCCTTCCCATAGAAGGGAGACAAGAATTGAACGCAGTATTCCAATAGTGGCCTAACTAATGTCAGGTACCATGACCTCCCAACTCCTATACTCAATGTACTGACCAATAAAGGCAAGTGTACCAAATGCCGCCTTCACTACCCTATCTACCTATGACTCCACTTTCAAGGAACTATGAACCTGCACTCCAAGGTCTCTTTGTTCAGTAATACTCCTCAGGACCTTACTATTAAGTGTATAAGTCCTGCCCTGATTTGCCTTTCCAAAATGCAGTATCTCACATTTATCTAAATTAAACTCCATCTGCCACTCCTCAGCCCATTGGCCCATCTGATCAAGGTCCCATTGTACTCTGAGATAACCTTCTTCACTGTACACTACACCACCAACTTTGGTATCGTCTGCAAACTTACTAACGATACCTCCTACGTTCACATTCAAATCATTTAAATAAATGACAAAAATCAGTGGACCTAGCACCGATTCCCATGGCACACCGTTGGTCACAGGCCTCCAGTCTGAAAAGCAACCATCTACCACACTCTGGCTCCTAACTTTGAGCCAGTTCTATATCCAATTGGTGTCTTAGAATTCTATAACTTAAACTCTATCCTTCTTAAATTCTACCATTCACAAATAGTCACACCCACAAGGAAAAGACAAGACACAAATATTAAACATGCAAATAAAACCTGGGAAACACAGTTCAATAACATCAGTCTGGACCACAAGATTTTATTAATTGTTTTCTTAGGTTTCCTCTAAATTTTTTTTTATTGCTGGCACCAGGTTCTTTTGCACACTAATGTTAAGTGTTTCATTTGCGGGTTAGAAGTTGTCCCCTCAATGTCACTGAGGGCATTTTACTCCTCCTTCAGCAGGGGTCTGCAGAGAAAGGAAGCCAAATATTTGTTGCTGGAGACTTTCTGGCATCTCCACCTGTGAGAGAATTCAAACAACTTAAGACCTAGATGCATCAGATAACCATAGAATCAAAGAACAAACATCACCTAACAGACAACAGTGCATCAACATTGCTAAAAAATCAAAAAGCCTGAGAAACTAACTTTGTACTTGTTGTCCAGATGTTTTACTTACTCTGTCTATATTCTTTTTCAATCCATAACATGCTAAATCATTTGTCTTTTGTCGGTCTTAATCGTGATTGTCTGTGTGTGTTTGGGGATTTTAAATGACTAGTTTAAATTGTGTAGTAATAGATTAGATATCCTTCCTCTTCTGTTTTATTTTGTAAAATTAAGTGTGTTCCAATAAATGCGTTATTTTCTGTTTTTGTTTTTGCCCTGAGTAGAAGTCGGTCAGGCATATTGGTCATTTTGGCAGTCTCATTGGATTTTATACATTTAAACATTTTGTAGTGGCTTGTTAAACAGTGGGCACAGTTATTGATGCACTCTTGCCAGTTAAGTCATAACAAAGGACAGGTAGCTAAGTTCCTAAAAACCAACAAAATGACATCCATAAACTAAATATCTACATTTGTCAAGGAGCTCAGAATTTCTTCAATGTTTCTGTCATAGATGGTGATCAGTGCGATCCTAATTTATGTCTCAATAATGCGGCTTGCCAGGATTTGATTGGTGGCTACCAATGTCACTGTGCTGAGGGATTTGATGGACCTCAGTGCCAGTATGGTAAGGTTTACATTTTTTGTTATTTGAATTTAAGTTATTCTTCGATATTTTCAGATAATATCAGCAACCATGTTTGTGTACAGCAAATGTTAAATGGTGATAATTCTATGGTGTAAGTACTTGGTTCTGTTGCCTGCTTAATGTTAATTCCTTTTACCATAATTTTATTTTTAAGGCACGTTTCCTCAAATTACATTAAAAAAATCAGACAACACCAGGTTGTAGTCAACAGGTTTATTTGAAAACACAAGCTTTCGGAGTCTTGCTTCTTCCTCAGGTGTCAGTGAGAGAGGTGGCATCAGACACAGAATTTATAAGCAAAAGATCAAAGGGACATAGAACTGATGCAAATGTATTGAACAAACCTAATACTGCAGTTAAATCTTCAATCAGTTAGAAAGGATTAATATGCAAACACCAGAATTTCTTTCAAGTCACTGCCCCGAGATAACTATAGGTTCTATTAGTATATACCAGAGGGGTCACCTCAGGTCAGACAATGCATTTTAGGGTGTGAGGCCTTGTTTAGAATCTGGCTGTGTATTAACTTGGAGTCAGACTGGTTTTATTTCCAAAGTAGGAATTTATAAAACGCCACATTGACTGTCTATAAATAGTGTGCTTTTTGCACAGAATAGAATTTATCTGCAATTACAAATCTGCAAATGCAAATTCACCCCATAGGTTTATATATATATATATATATGTGTGTGTGAGAGAGAGAGAGAGCGTGTGTGAGAGAGAGAGAGAGCGTGTGTGAGAGAGAGAGAGAGCGTGTGTGAGAGAGAGAGAGAGCGTGTGTGAGAGGGAGAGCGCGAGAGCGTGTGTGAGAGGGAGAGCGCGAGAGCGTGTGTGTGTGTGAGGGAGAGCGCGAGAGCGTGTGTGTGTGTGAGGGAGAGCGCGAGAGCGTGTGTGTGAGGGAGAGCGCGAGAGTGTTTGTGTGTGTGAGGGAGAG